AAAACAAGCAGAACTTCAAAATTACTCTTATAATAAAATTTTGTTCCGGGGGCGCTGCCCCCAGAAACCCCCGCAGGGGCGCTGCCCCTTGACCCCGCGACCTAACCGGGCAAGTCGAACCCTGCCAGGGGGCAGCGCCCCCTTGGACCCCCGGCAGACCGATATATTGTTTTATTCATGTTGTGATTTTTTTTTATTTCACTTTATATCAATTTAATTCGATGTATTCATATGCATGATTGGTTTGTTAGCAAAATGAGCTCGGCTGCTGGCGGGAGTGGATTAGGTGAAGGTTCAAAAGAGCCATCTGTAGAAACTGATAAGCCATTATGGATTCATGTTACAAAGTTAGGAAAAACATTTGAAGGAGGAGGGAATGTGTCATTCAAATGCAATTATTTTTAATGGCTGTTACAGAGAAGTATACCCAATGTTCATTAAAGCAAGTGAATGTGATAGGAGAATACAAGGAATACATTTTTATTGTCAATTTGAATTCAAGAGGTGAAGTCATGAATTGGGCCTTCAAATGTTGTGCAGTTATTACAGATAATGCACCGGTGTGTAGAGCTGCAGCATTATTGATGGAGCAAACTTATCCCCATATATTTTGGACACCCTGTGTTGTGCACACTTTAAATCTTGCTCTAAAAAATATTTGTGCAGCAAAAAATACTAGGCTAATGAATATGATCTAGGCTGAATGTCATGGATAACAGTGGTTGCAGATGATGCTGTTCTGATCAGAATTTTATTATGAACCATTCTATGAGACTTTCATGTTTAATGATTTCTCCCACTTGAACATGCTAGCTGTTGCTGAAACTCGTTTTGCCTCTGTAATAATTATTTGGAGATTCAACAAATTAAAATGCTCTTCAATTTATGGTGATTTGTGAGAAGTGGTCTTGCTATCGAGAAATGATGTTGGGAAGGCAAGGTATGTTAAAGAAAAGGTCTTAGATGTTTGGTGGGATAATGTAGACTATATTTGGCTTTCACTGATCCAATTTATGATATGTAGAGAGGCTGACACAGATAAATCTGTCTACATTTGATTTATGAGATGTGGGACTCTATTGTTAGCAAAAGTGAAAGAAATTATATACAGACATGAAAAGAAGTCACATGATGAAGACTCAAGTTTTTGGAGCATGTACTATACTATTCTTGAAGATAGTGAGCAAAGCGAACAACCTTTGCATTGTTTGGCTCATTCATTAAATCCAAGGTATTTTATATTATCTTTTAAATTAATTTAATTTGTTGGTAAATGAACATATAATTTAATATGCTTGTTTATTTGAAGGTTTCAAGTAAAATGGCTTCAGAAGACCCTCAACGTGTCTCACACAAAAGATTTAGAAGTTTCAAATATGAGAAAGATATGCCTGAAAAGATATTTTCCAATGAGGAGGAGAGAAGAAAAATTAATGA